CGCTGTGGCTCCAGTGGTAGAGCACTAGCCTTGAGCTGAAGAGCTGAGGGACAGCGCCCAGACCCAGAGTTCAGGCCCCATGACCGGCAAAAAAAAAAAAAAAAAGAAGACGTGGACCGATGGGCTCCATTACACTGTTAGAATTTAAAAACAAGATTATCTACTGTTTTGCTCCTATTAACATTTTTTTTGATTGTTCTCACAATACTCCCAGAAGTAAACCAGGATTTCCAAGACGTAGGACTCCTCGCTTCCCGAAGAGGGGGAGAAAAAGGTCCCCAAGCAGCCGCAACCGACCTAGCTTATCGGTCCGGCGGCCAGTTGGACCCCAGACCCCTGAAGCAAGCCCATTTTCCTCTCGGAGGACGCAGCGACTTCTGGGAAATGTAGTCTTCCGGATGGACTCTTCCGGGTCCGCACGCAGCGCGCCTTCCCGCCTATTCCTGGAGTTTTCCCGCCAGGAATCACGCTGGTTCCTGGGGCTTTGACACGCTGCTGGAATGTCGCTGAGAGTTTTTTGTTCTGCAGTTGGCGATGAGGGTGACACCCCCCTGCTTCTGCTGGGTGTACCTTGGGAGCTAAAACGTAAGTGGATCACCGGCTTGGGAACCGGTGGGCGGATGCGAACTGAGACATGGGCGAGGGCACAGGTGCTTGCGTTTTGTGGGTTCCTCTGGTCTGGGGTATTGGGGCTGAGGTTCCTGATTTCTCAGAGTTGATGCTGCCAGAAGCCAACATGCCTCCACGTGCAACTCCCAGGCTCTGCCACCAGAAGCCAGTGTGCTTCCACGTGCAACACATTGGTTCCAGAAGCTCCACAGGTGGGCTGGGTGATTCTCCAGACTAGGAGATAGGAGAGCCAAGGAGGTGTGAGGTTTATATGCCACGACGGAGAGATTGTCCTGTTAACTAACCTACGTGACACCACTCACTTTGCCCGACTGTAAGATTGAGTACAGTGACATCTCTAGTGAAATTAAAGTCTGACGGAAGAAGGTTCTGGGAAGATAAATCTTAGTTCTCTAGACTTTGAGATTAGAGTTACTGAGGGGCACTTGTGTAAAAACCCAGTTTTAGATATAGCTTTAAAAAGCCATCTTAGACTCGCAGCCCTTTCCCCAAATTAGAAGATGTAGCACTTGGTAACTCCCACCCCTGGCCCTTGAAACTACAAGTACCTCTATCCTCCAGCGGCATCCTTGGAATGCTGTCCACCTGGGTCTGATAACAACTGTTGACTCCCCTGGGGTTATGTATTATCGTCTCTGATGTCTAGAGGCCGCTGCCAAAGGGCCTCTTGCTCCTAATGGCTCCAGGACGTGACCTCATGAAATTGTTTACGAAAATTGCTTATAAGGCTAACTGCAAATTTCATTTCTGTGAATCAGCTTGTTGCTTGTGAAACCGTCTCACCACCTGTGTATAGTTTTTTGCTTTATAAATCCTAACTTACTAGGGGTCAAGGCTATTCTGTTTTGAGACCCTGGGGTCCAGGACAGGATAGCCCTGGCCGGCTAATAAACTACTTTGTCATCTTTAACCGTGCCTCTGTGCACTACTTGACTCACGGGGTATTTCACTTGTAGGATCAGAGAAGATCCAGGAATTTTAGTTAGTAAATTCTTTCTTTGGGAATTGGTGTCAGTGAATCATAAACACTGCTTTATAATACCTTACTTTAAACATGCTGATCTGATTTTTTTTCTTTTTTTGGGGGGGGGGGAGGGTTGGTCCGGTCGTGGGGCCTGAACTCTGTGCCTGGGCGCTGTCCCTCAGCTCTTCAGCTCAAAGCTAGCACTCTACCACTTGAGCCACAGCGCCACTTCCGGCTTTTTTCTTTTGTGGTACTGAGGAATCGAACCCAGGGCCTGGAGCATACAAGGGAAGTGCTCTACCACTGAGCCACCTTCCCAGCCGCTGATCTGATTTTTATCATCATTTCCTGTGGCTTTTGTGACTAAGAAGTATTCCTAATGTGGATGTTTTCCACTTTATTAATCTGTTTTAGAAAAATTACAAATTCTGTAATACAATAGCAAACCTATTTTACATTACTTAAAATGGGTAAGACTGCATATACTAATCTAAACAAATTTCAGAAAATATAACTAAAATACAGTATAATATCCCTTTTGAACTATAGATTTTTATTTCTTTTTTAATTTTTATTTATTTATATATATTTTTATTGTGAAAATACTGTACAGAGGGGTTACAATTACACGGGTAAGATAATGAGTACATTTCTTATCGAGCATTGTAGCCTCCTCCTTTGTTTCCCCTTCCCATCCCTTTGAAAGACCCCCGACTTCGGGTCTCCCCAAATCAGAGCCTCCCTGCCCCAAGCACCAGTCAGACGACACCAGATGCAAAGGCAAGAGGATTTTATTTGGGCATGCCCAAGTTCCCAGGTGCACGTGACCTCGAGATCCGCAAGGTTCGGGTCAGTGTCTGGGAACCCCGAGCAGTCCCGGGGATGGTCCTTTTATGGGACCCCTCTGTCCCTTACAGGAGTGCCCGCGCTTTTTCAGCCAGTAATTTTAAAGTGTTACAACCTGGTCTGCACGCAGGCAGCCAATCCTTTTAAAACAAATCATATGTTTTAGCCAATTACTGTTGGAGGGGGTCCCCCGGTGTACGTGCCGAGTTGTATGTCTCCGGCCCTTGGTATGAGGAAATGACCTTTACCCGAGATAGCACCTGTGAATTGTTTCGGTCAGGGGAGGCCAGCTTTAGGGCCAGCAGGATGTGAGCTTATCGATTAACTTGTGAGGTTACTGCTTAATTACTAGGAGAGTACGGGGTAATGTAATTTTTAGCAAAGCATGTTACAGAAGCCAGAAATTGCTTGGTTAGACATGAAACTCGGCTCCCTGGCAAAGGGGCTAGAGGCCTGGTGGTATGAGGAGGGGGTCTTTCACCTTCATATCCTCCCCACGCCCGTCCCCCCCCCAAAGTTGTAAAGTTCGTTTTTCGACATAAGACTTGTACATCTCATTGTTGCAATGGGTCCTCCTGTTAGATTTTTATTTCTAATAAAAAAAATCTGAGCCAGGTGCTGGTGGCTCACACTTGTAATCCTAGCTACTCAAGAGGCTGAGATCTGAGGATCACAGTTCAAAGCCAGCCCAAGCAGGAAAGTCCATGAGACTCTTTATCTCCAATAAACCACTAGAAAGCCGGAAGTGGTGCTGTGGCTCAAGTGGTAGAGTGCTTGCCTTGAGCTGAAGAGCTCAGGCCCAGAGTTCAAGCCCCATGACCTAAAAAAAAAAAAAAAATCTGAAACTAAAGATTTTAGAGTAAGGATGGTCAGCCATTAATCTCTGTGAAGATAGTTAAAATCTCAAACAAAACAACTGCCCTCATACGTCTATTCTAAGCATCATGGAGGAGGGACACCCAGACTACAACAAATTTATTTTATGTTTTGTTAAGCTAAGAAAACATTCTTTTGATGTTAAAAAACTTAAAACTACTGTGCAAACATTGCTTTTTAATAGTTCATATGGTCTTTACCAGCACCTGCAACCTGTAATCTTGCTGAAGTCCACACAGTTGATGTTCCTGATCATTTTCATTATTTGTACATGTGGCTATAAAGCTCACTTTATTGTATATTAAGAGTTTCTATCCTACATAATTTTGTTACGTAAACATAGAGCAGTAGATTATACCAAAAGCAAATTACCATTTTATTTGCTTAAATTTTTTAGACCTACATTTTGGGGTGGGCTCAGCTAGGAATTTTGCATTGATATTGTTTCTTTTGTTGTTTTGTTTTTTTGTGGCCTTGGCACTGTCCCACAGCATTTCAGCTCAAGGCTAGTGCTCTACCACTTGAGTCACAGCGCCACTTCTGGTTTTCTGAATGGTTTATTGGAGATAAGAGTCTCAGGGCCTTTCCTGCCTGGGTTGGCTCTGAACCTTGATCCTCAGATGTCAGCCTCTAGAGTAGCTAGGATTACAGGACTGAGCCTCTAGCACCGGACTTGATATTGTTTAATAACAAATAAGGCTTTAATCATTTGGTTAACTGACAGAGGAGAGTTGGTTTAGGATGGTGTCACTCATAAGACCTAGTATTGGTTTATATTATTCAATTATGCTTTAAAGGAATATTTATGTTACTAATTCTGTATGTAATATTAATGGAGAAATGAACTGAGTTTTTAATCTCTACCAACTTATTGACTGTGTGGATTCATCTTCACTGGGGACTCATGTCTCTGATTGAGCGATAAAAGTTCTTGTATAGGAAGACTTCTTTTTTTTTGCAGCATAGGTGTAGTGATTTGAGCAGGAACATCTGGAACAAAGCCAGACAGGGTTTTTCCTGACTCCATTTGCCTTCTCTCCCAGAAATAATTCCAGAATCTTCTGTTCATATGTTTTGTTGACCAACAGCAATAGCAAAATGGATGGATCTCTGGTGAGTTGCTTTTTATTTCTCACTTTGTTTCACATTGATTTTATGAACTTAAGAGTGTCCATGAATTAAAATGGAAGTGTCATTCATGGGAAAACTTGACAGATATTTGCTCAATAATAAAGTTTGATCTCTCAGGAACTTTGCTTCTAGCCAACATGTGTGACAGCATCTTCTTAGGAATCTACTGGGAATAAGTAAGACACATTTGAACAGTAGTTAATGAGATCATATGCAAAGAATAAAAATGAGATGAGCACATTATACTAATTTGTATCTTTGGATATGTATATTTATGGTTGGTGCTATACGTAGTTTGTGTTTCCAGGTAAAACTGATTTAGCATGTTCTCAAACACATTTTTTATTGCAACAGATTACTTAAAATCAATAAGATAAGCGAGTACATATATCATTTATATTTCTGACAAAACTCACACAATCCATGGTACATTTTTTTAACCCACAGTACTTTTTTTTTCTTGCTCCATATTCAAGGCTGCCCTTGAAGTTGACATGTAGCCTAGGCTGGCTGGTAATCCTGCCTGAGCATAGGTGTGTTCCACCATTAATGATTCTTTGAGTGTGTGAGTGAGTGTGTACCGGGTGGTTGGGGGGGGGGGGGGGGGAGGGAGAGGGAGTGTGTGAACTCATGGTCTGGGTGCTATCCCTGAGCTCTTTTTCTCAAAGCTAGTGCTCTACCACTTGAACCACAGTTCTACTTCCAGCTTTTTTGGAGTTTAATTGTATGTAAGTGTCTTACAGACTTATCTGCCCTGTCTGGCTTCTATCATGATCCTAAGTTCTCGGCCTCCTGAATAGTTAGGATTATAGATGTGAGCACCCAGTACCCAGATGACCATTGTTAAATGTATAGTTTACTGATATTACCTATGGTCCAATTGTTGTGTGACCATCTATCCCTTCCATCCATCTACAGCACTTTTTCTTTCGTGTATGAAGCTGTATAATCATTAAATATATAGCTCCTATTTCTCTCTATCTGTCTCTGTAACTATCATTTGGCTTTTTGTGTCTATGAGTTTGTTGATTCTCAGCAGATCATACTAGGGTTGAACAGTCCTGGTTTATTTTATGTGACTTTAAAAAAAATTTATCTTATTGTGGGGCTTGGAAGGTGGCTCAGTGGTAGAGTGCTTGCCTTGCATGCATGAAGCCCTGGGTTCAATTCCTTAGCACCACATAAGCAGAAAAAGCCAGAAGTGGTGCTGTGGCGCAAGTGGTAGAGTGCTCACCTTGAGCTGAAGAGGTGAGGGACAGCGCCCAGGCCAAGAGTTCAGGCCCCACGACTGACAAAAAAACAAAATCAAAAAAATAAATTTACCTTATTGTATTCAAGGTTCATCTATGTTTCAAAATGCATTAGAAATGCTTCTATCTTACAGTTATTTTGAGTAGTTGCTATGAAATGATTCTCCAAATACCTGTGCTTATTGCTTTCTCTTCTTCTGGGTACAAACCTAGAAGAACTGCTGAACTATATTCTTGTGAATTCTATATTTACTTCTTTTTAGAATACACAAGGTTTAACTTTTATGCAGTTAAATCTTGTCTACTTTTGAACATGTGCTTTTGGTGTCTTATCGAAGAAGTAATTATTAGGTCTGAAGTCATGATGCTTTCCTCCTGCCTCCTCTCTTCCCTGCCTTTCCCTCCCTTTCTCACTCCTTTCTTAAGAAAGGAAAACTTTTCTCATTTTTTCCATTGTTTTAATAGTCCCATTTTGGTGTTGTTTTTTTTTTTTTTCCGGTTGTGGGTCTTGAACTCTGGGCCTGGGCACTGTCCCTCAGCATTTCAGCTCAAGGCTAGAGCTCTACCACTTGAGCCACAGCGTCACTTCCAGTTTTCTTTCTTTTTTTTTTTTTTTTTGTTGATCGTGGAGCCTGAACTCTGGGCCTGGGCGCAATTCAGCTCAAGGCAAGTGCTCTACCACTTGAGCCACAATGTCACTTCTGGCTTTTTCTGCTTATGTGGTGCTGAGGAATCGAACCCAGGGCCTCTACATGCAAGGCGAGCACTGCCACCTTCCCATCCCACTTCTGAGTGGTTTATTGGAGATAAGAATCTCACAGACTTTTGTGCTCCTGCTAGCTTTGAACCATGATCCTCAGATCTCAGCCTCCTGAGTAGCTAGGATTACAGGCATGAACCTGTAATGAGCTTGGCTAGTCCCATTTTTTTTTACCCTGCCACTTTGCTCCCCTTCCTTACTTTCCCTACCTACTTCCTCCATCTTCTTTTCTCTTTTATTCTGAATTGGGGACTTGCTTTGTTACCCCAGTTGGTCTCTAACTCATAAGCTCAAGTGATAATAGGCCTTCTACCAGGCCTGATTCTTTCTTCTTTCTTGTACTAGTACTGGGGTCACATTTGGTCAGTTTGCTTACTCACTATCTCTTGAGCCATGGTTCTAGCTTATTAGCTGGTTAATTGGAGTTATTTGCCTAGGCTGGCTTCCAGATTTCAGCTACCTCAGCACCTAGACTAGGATACCAGTCTGGAGCGACAGTGCTGATATCCTATATTTTTTTCTTTTTTTTAAAATTTAATTTAATTTTATTTTATTTTATTTGTGAAGATACTGTACAGAGGGGTTACAATTACATGGGCAGGATAATGCGTACATTTCTTACCAAGCATTGCAGCGTCCTCCTTTTGTTTACCCTTCACATCCCTTCCCAGCCTTCCCCCTCCCCCCCTATATTTTTTTCTTATCTGAACATTTAATGTTCATAGTAAGTTGGATACTATAATAAAATAAGATTGTTTTTACTTATGTAGACATTAATATTCAACCTAAACTTAAATAATTAATGTCTCAAATTAAGAGTATATTTCATCTCTAATAACTTTATAATTAATTAATAGCTTTATTTTTCTTGTTGATTTCCACTTCTTTGTTCAGAGAATATGTATTAAGTTTTGTCTTAAGATTCATTTTTAGTGTCAGTATGTCTGCCTTGGTCAGTGTAACATAGTGTTTAACAAGATATTGTCATCTGTGTGTGTGTGTGCACATGTGTGTATGTATGTGTATGTGTGTATGAGTGTGTGTTTCTGCTGACTTTTTGTCTGTTTGTTCTATCAGCTATTAAGAGGAGTATTGATTGTCCACTTGCAAAGGTGGATTTTTAAAAAAATCCCATTTTGATTCTGTGGCTTTTTTAAACTTATCTTCGGAGCCTTTGTTTTTAAGCACATAATAACTTGTTTTATCTTGATTTGTCTGTTGCTATCAGTGGTCTCTCTGTGGTCATACAGTTTGTAATGATGTTTATATTTTTCTCATAGCTTTTCATTATAAGTTTTTGTTTATGGTATTTTTGTATTTATTTATTGTGTATTTATGTTTGGAGTATATCTCTTTGGATAGTGTATTACTGGGGGTGTTTTTTGGTGAAGTAAGACAGTATTACGTATTTACTCCATTTATGTTAAAATAGTAATTGGTTTAATTAGTTAATTAATTTTTTTGGTTTAATTTTTGACTGCCATTTTGCTACTTATTTTCTGTTTGTCTCATCTGATATTTTTTTTCTATTTTCTTTATTTGGATTAAACAGATATTTCTACCCTACTCATTTGTAGATATCCACAAGGGATGATTCCAAAACCATTGCGGATACCAAAATTTGTAGGTGCTCTAGTTACTCATACAAAATGGTTTTGTTTGGAAATAACCTGCACATATCCTTCTGTATACTTTCAATCACCTTGTAATGACCTCTGATACCTACTACAATTTAAATCCTGTGTAAATAGTTCTTATACTGCCTTGTTTAGAGGTTATTGTCAGTTGTCTTTTTCTGTAGAGTGGCCATTTAAAAAATTAGTTTGGGCCAGAGCCGATGGCTCATGCCTGAAATCCTAGCTACTCAGGAGGCTGAGAGCTGAGGATCATGGTTCAAAGCCACCCTAGGCAGGAAAGTCCTTGAGACTCTTGTCTCCAGTTAACCACTGGAAAACTGGAAATAGCACTGTGGCTCAAGTGGTAGTGTGCTCCCCTTGAGCTGAAGAGCTGAGGGCAGTGCCCTGGCCCAGAGGTCAAGCCTCACAACTGACAATAAATAAACAAACAAATAAATAAGTAGTTTGGATTCATGATTGGTTGAATCTGTGAGACTCACAATACACAAGTCCTATTGTATTCCTTTGAAAAGTTATGTATGAGCCCTAATTTACTCTATTAGTCTGACTCTTACTCATCAACAATGAACTGAGGATTTTACACATAGACTAATGAATGTTCAGATGGAAACAGCGAGAAGCCAAACCTGTTCTTATGCTTTCATCTCTAGAACTACAAGAAGATATAGTTTCCATCAAGCCTGATTCTTTGTTATGACCGTTGTAGGAAATTACATACTATTAGCAATTCTTTGCATTATTATTAGGGCACTGTCTTACTGCATAATAAAATATAAGTATCTTTCAATTGAATAATTCCATGTATATTTTTAATCTATTGTTTGTTTATGTATGTATTTTTGTGCAATTAGGGCTTTGAATTCAGTGTCACACTTTTGCAAGGCAAATGCCTATCCCTAGTTACATTTTTAATAATAATATTTACATATTGAATCTTTACATTATGAATCATCTATATGGCATTGCAAGTTTTGCTTTTAGCTATTATTTTAAATAATATTCTCTTTTTTTGTCAATTGTGGGGCCTCAACTCAGGGCCTAGGCACTGTCCCTCAGCTCTTCAGCTCAAGGCTAGCGCTCTCCCAGTTGAGCTACAACGCCACTTCTGGCTTTTTCTGCTTATGTAGTGCTGACGAATCGAATCCAGGGCTTCATGCATGCAAGGCACTCTACCACTGAGCCACCTTCCCAGCCCTTTAACTAATGTTCTATACATCCTTTTTTTTTGTGTGTGTTAGTCATGTGGCTTGAACTTTGAGTCTGGGCGTTGTCCCTCAGCTCTTCAGCTCAAGGCTAGCACTCTACCACTTGAGTCACAGTGCCACTTCCAGTTTTCTGGTGGTTAATTAGAGATAAGATTCTCACAGACTTTCCTTCCCATGGGTGGCTTTGAACAGTGATCCTCAGATCTCAGCCTCCTGAGTAGCCAGGATTACAGGCGTGAGCTACTAGCCTCTTGCTACATTATTTTATACTTAGCTATACACTATTTTTTTAAATTTTATTTTCTTGTAAAGAGGTTGTACAGAGGTTACATTTACATCAGAAAGGTAATGAATACATTTCTTGTTGGGCATTGTTACTCCTCTCGTTTTTCTCCCACTATCCCTTCCCTCTCCTACCTCCCCCACTCCCTGCACACTTAGAATTTCTAAGATCCTGTTTCTATTTGTACTTCTAAGTTTGCATCTTTTGGAAGTGGCGCTGTAGCTCAAATGGTAGAGTGCTAGCCTTGAGCTGAATTGCTCAGGGTCAGTGCCCCGGCCCAGAGTTCAAGCCCTAAGACTGCCAAAAAAAAAATCCAATCTAAGTTTGCATCTTTTGCTATTCTCTTGAGGCAGGATAATTTTTTCTAGCCTCTTAAAATGCAGGTGTGTTGTTAATGAACTCTTTATCTGAAAATACCTTCAATCTACACTATAGAAGAGTTCTCTTGAATCATACATTGTGAATTGAAGGTTATTTTCTTAGGAAACCTGACATACATAATTCATTTTGTGTCTTGGGGAAGCCAGCATTCATCTTTGGTATTGCCAAACAGGGAGGCGTGGGGTGGGGCGCTTGAACATTATTCATAGTCATAAATTTTCCTGTTCCCTCTGAAGACAGATTCATTCATATTCTGTTCAAAGTTTTTAAATTTTCTTCCATGTTTTTTGTATCACTTCCCTGTTCTTTATTATTACTCTTTCTGTGTCCTGCTGGTGGTGGTGACATCTCACATAATTTTCTTATCCTTGACTGTCTTTTAAGCCTCTTTTCACTTACCTTTTATCCTTCTATAAGGGAGACTGTTAAAGTACAAGTCTAGTCAAGAAATACTTTATTCCCTGCTGATGTATATTTTGATATATAGGCGGGTGGTAATGTTCACAAAAGTTTATGCTAGCAATTCCTTTGTGTTCAGGGAGACATAAAAGAGTACCTATAAACATACTTTAATTTATAGTAATTTAATGACAAAAATGAGCACAAATACTTTATTGGTGGAACTAAGTTAAGCCTTATAAATGACAATCAGTCTATAGTCAGTTTCTTGATTCCTTTTAACAATCTCCTGTACACTGTGCTTCTTTTTGGATCTGCTCATGTGATACGTATTCCTTACAGTCTCTTGAGTGGGTTCTTGCTGTTTATGAGAACACATTTCTATAAAAGATCTAAATAGACTTTGTAGGAATGCACAATATGAAAGTGATTTATTCTAAATTTATATTACAACAAGCTCAGTACACTTTTGCAGGTATATACCTGTAGTGTTGTTATCCTAGATCATAGCCCCTTAAAATTTTTTTTATCACATCGCTACCACTAGCACCAGTGACATTTTCTGATCTATTTGAGAAACTTAATATTAGTAATTAACAAGTCAGTATAATAACAGGTATTTCTACTTTGATTTGTTTTTCTCTTACTCTGTAGATAACAGAATAAGCTATAACTATCTTATATAAAACAAAAGCATACATATAGAAGAATAAAATTCCAGACTTGGTATTTTCAGGGTTAACTACTTGTTGGAAATATGCCATTACAGAGGATGGTGTCATTTGAGGATGTGGCCATTGATTTCAGCTGGGAAGAGTGGGAGTACCTGGATGATGATCAGAAAACAATGTATAGAGATGTAATGCTGGAGACCTACAGCAACCTGGTGTCCTTGGGTGAGCAAAAGTCACATTAACTCACAGGGTGAAGTGCTTTATTTTAGTCAGTATTTGAATACTTGTCAGATTCAGTGCTCTTTAGGTGTGAGATTCTAGTCCATTGGGAGTGTCACCTCTTTCTAAGAAGAACTTCACATTGGCTGTTTGCTTCCTGAAGCTGTTTTATTGTCATCCTTTAAGGAGTTGAGTTAGTGGTCTGGCAAAAGTTCTATGTTACATTCCATTAACAGGGTACTACTGCCTAAAGCTGAAGCCATTATAGGGGAATATGCAATCTAGAATACAGTGTACCTCACTATTGGAGATGTAGTCTTGAAATCAGTAAAGGTGGTACTAGAAAATCCAAAGCTGGTATTTACAGGAAAGGTTAACCACAGAGCTGGTGAGAAATGAGAAAATAGATTTAGGAGAAGCCATGTATTCCAGGATGTCAGCGATCCTCATACCAAAGGTGACCCATTGTGTACAAAACTTCTACACTATTTCTTGTTAATAGGGCACTATGTTCCTAAATCTAAAGTGATTGTCAAGCTGGAGCAAGGTGCAGAGCCATGGATGAGAGAAGCCCCAGACAAAAAATTAACAGGTGCGTCTATGCTTTTTTGGCAGTGATGTTTTAAAGAGCAGAGCACAGTTGGTGTGGCTATGATAAGCAATAATGTTCCCAGCTCCTTGTGCCCTTGGTGTGGCAGAGATGTAGGTGGTCCTTGGTCCATGGGAATCAAGATGTAGAGGCATGCTGAGTTCTGTGTGGGAGGAAATTTAAAATGGGCAGTTCTCCTTTTTCTTTGCGGAAATCATTTTATTTTATTTATTTATTTATATTGTGAAAATACTGTACAGAGGAGTTACAATTACATGGGCAAGATAATGAGTACATTTCTTATCAAGCATTGTAGCCTCCTCCTTTGTTTCCTCTTCCCATCCCTTCCCATCCTCCCCCGCCCCCTGGAAATCATTTTAAAGCAAAAAAGAAAACAAGAAATGTATGGAATATATCATTTTTTTATGGAACTGGAACCCTGCACATACCAGGAACTAAGGAGGACCCTAGGGTTGCTGTCCTCAAAAAGCAAAAAGAGGCTTCTCAATAGTGGTGGGCAGTGCCTGGGATTTATACCCAAAGTCTTAGTTTAGGAAGGATGGTGACCAGGAAGGTGGACTCGTGTCTCTTGTCTTCTATTGTTCTGAGGGGCAGGGGATTCAGAAAAGGAATTTTAGATGACACTTTGCCTAAAATGGAGAAGAATGCACTGATGCCTATTTTTAATTATATCTACAGCGGTTTTAGTGAGAAGTTAGAGCTGAACAAATGCAGGTATAAATTCTCACCTTCAGGAGCCACTCCTGCTTAGGTAAAAAGCAAAGAGACCTATTGTAAGGAAACTGAGTCATGAGGGTATCAGAGTAAACAAAGGGCAGAAAGCAAACTCAGTACACTTTATTCAGGAGTGAAGTTTGGGAAGGGTGACCACATCTCCTTTAGCATAGCTGAGGAGGAAATCGCTCACCCCTCTTACAACTAGGACTCTTTAGATATTAAGTAGAAAGAGTGAAGTTGGGGAGGGGCAGTCAGAAGTGGGGTGAGATGGAGGGGGGTGTGGATGAGCAGTATTATTTTGGCTTAGGACTTTCAGGGTCTCAATAGCATCTGTATTAAGTAAGAGGCTTCACCATCAGATGTGGCCTTGGTCTCAAGCTCTCTTCCAAGACTGTTGGTGCATTTGTTCATGGGCAGCAAAGGACAGTTCTAAGATATAGTTATCAGGGGGTATGGTGAATGCTTTAGGTCAAGTTACTTTCCATCATCCCTGACTCTCGAAAAGCATAAGAAACAAGGAGGAGAAAGGGGTGCTGTCTTGTCTGGCTACTTTCTGCTGATGTGAGGTGGTGAGGGGAGTAGGAGTCTTATGCTTTCAGAGTCAGGTCTCATTGAGCCGAAAAGATGGCTTTGACATGCTCCTAGGTTGCTGCCTGAAATATATCTGTTATGCAATGGGTCTGGAACTTTTATGTGGATTTTACTTGAATGCTATAGAGGATTAAACCTGCAATGACAAAAGACTTATGAGTAGTTATCTCAGAAGTTTGAAATAACAACTTTTTAAACAATGTAATTATTTTTATTGCAAACTGATTAAGATTGTCACCTTTGTATATACCACTAGATATTTTGGTTGCAATGAATAATATATGGATCCAGGCTTGCTTGGTGTTTTTTCCCAGCTTTGTATCCAAAGCAGTTTATATACTTGGAGAACAGAGATATTAGTAACAATCCTTTCACACCAGTGTATTAATTTTGATCTTAGGAAAAATCTTTTGCCATTTCATAAGCTCTGTCTTATGAAACTCAATACGTATACCATCTGCTACTTACTTGAACATTCTGTGGTTTATCTTCATTTTTCCCTTTTGGAACAAACATTTAAGACAATTCTTTCTTCCCAAATTCTTCCTTATCTAAAGGATATCATTTTTCTAGTTCCTCAATTCCCTTTCCAAAGTCTTTCTTCATACTGTTTTATAAGCTCTGTTTTATAAAACTCAAGACATACATCTTTTCATTTTCACTTCCTTATCTCATTACTGATTTTTCCTTTAATTTGTATTTGAAAACCTTTCAGAAAACTTAACTGAAAAACATAGTTTTAGAAAATACTCTGTATTTATGGCACCAACAAGCAGAATTTCCACTTTTAAACATATACAGGTACAGAATAAAACAACTTAGTTATTAGCAAGAGTTTCTGGCTAATACAGCAACTCAGTACAGCCGGTGATAAATCTCATGGTTGTCAGCGACCTTGAGTCAAGTTTGTGATAAACTGCAAAGCTGCCAGCTTTGTAGACTTGAGTGAAGGAGAGATTTTTGCTTTTTACTTGAAGTGAGACACTGAGGCTAATGGAGAAATGGAGGTTGTTAGCAAATTAAGATTAATTAGACTTTGCCAGAGAACCACGCAGACATCCAGGTACAGAGAACAAAGAAAGGTTTATTGCCGGGAAAGGGAGCCGGCAAGACTCCTTCTCACAAGGGAGGAATGAGAAGAAGCACCAGCTATTGTTTGGGGTGACCTATATAACCTAGGAGGCTTAGAAGGGGCTAGAAGGCCGAGACTCTGGGGTGGATGTGTGGGCCAGGGGCTTCATCATGGTGGACTAGGATTTATGGCTCCCATCCAAGTAGTAGATAAGGGTCCTGCAGCTGCCCAGTCCTGAAGGTCACTCTAAAGGACTCTTGTTGCCATATATGGTGGTAGCTTCCCCAGAGAAGTGCCAAGGTAAAAGGGGCCGAAGTTGATTATTTACTGCCTTTAGTACATGGGCCTAGTGTTGCCTAGGAAGGGAGCATGCATGTGGAAAAGAGAAGGAATGGACTAAGCTATGGGAAGGGATTCATTTCACTAACAGGTAAATTCCAGAAATCTGTAAATTTGACCTTTCAGTAAAAGAGAGACTAGCCCCAGAGTGGACTAGAAAGGATATTTGTTGTCCAGTCACTGCCCAAGTGATCCTAGGTTCCTTACTTAGATACACTACTGGTGAAGACCTTGGTGGAGTCAAAGACTCCAGACTGCTCTATTCTAGTAGATGAGGGCAGGGTAAATCTGGATATGGCTGTACTAGGGACAAGGGCTTCACTCCCAGGGGCAATTAATTTTCCAGTGTCCCTGGCATCACAAAATGGGCAAGGCTGAGAGAAGGGCGATGGGCTTGGGCAAACTCTTGTCCAATGTCGCTCTTTGCTACAATGGAAATAGGTAAAAAGAAGAGCAGAAAGGCCCAAGACCTTGTTTGGGAGTGGTCTGGCATAGCATAGTCTATTTTGGGACTGCATGACAGTAACTAAAAGTTGGCATTTAACTTTAAGGAGTCTCTCTTGTTCTTTATTTTTGCTTCTTCATTCGGATTATTAAAGATGGTGAAGGCCACATTAAATAACTCCTGTTGTGGTGTTTGGGGGCCATTTTCTAACTGTTGAAGGTTTTTTTTTTTTTTTTGCAGATGTCTGGAGTGAATTGGTGATAAATTTAATGGGAAGAAAAAAATTATCCCTTCAGGGAGGTGGGAGCAGTGGGGAGAGTAGAGAGAATAGGAAGGCTATCAGCAAAGAGAATCTGGAATGCTAAAGCAAGGTAAACAGAGGAAGTTTACTTAGAATGGACAGTTTCAGCTGAAAGACTAAGGATTGCTGAACTAGAAGAATGTAGTCAGGAATGAAGAGGGAAAAAGCCTGGGGCATAGGGAACTTACTGTTTTGTTCTGTCTTGAGGCATAGTTTATCCAACTGGTCTTGGGGCCAAATGAGGGCAGAGAGGCTGTAATTATTTTCAAGGCTTTTAAATTTTTGATGAGCCAGCTCAGGGGAGAATCCAAAGAGCCAAACTGTTCTTTAGAGTGTGACCCAATCATAGGATTCAGTTAAGACAAAAGCCAGAATCCTTTGGCGACAAAGGGACATCTCCATTTTATTTCCAAAGGGGACCTTCCACAGGCCCAGACCATCCCTCAGCCAAGGGCATTATCAGATCAACCTCAAGACAGTGGATGGGGTACTGCCCAGGGTGCTCAACTGGGACGACTGGGAACTCTTACCTATTCTAATGAGGGTGAGATGGTCAGTGGAACTCTTACCTACTCTAATGAGGGTGAGATGGTCAGTGGTGTGTGCAAGAGACAAAATAGTGAGAAGCTTTTACCTGGAATTCGTGATGGGAAGGTCAGGTAGTAGAAGGAAGAGTAGAACAATGGTCTTAATGGAGAATAGTTTCTGATCTAGAGGTCTGGAGGAGAGTTTAGTCAGAGTGGGGGAAGAGAAAGAGAAGTTCCCAGTGGTCTTACAACTGCATTTGCCAGTCAGGTCCATATAGGTCTGGGTCAAGACAGCCTCCCTTATATGGCAGTGAGGCAGTGAGAGCCTAGGGCCCTGGGTCATCATGTCCTAGCCACCATTTAGCCAAAGTAAACATGAGGACTGACTGGCTTTCAGAAAGCTACTGGGGAGGAAGGAAAAAAAAAAGAGCATACAAAGAATGACAGAGGAGGTAGACAGAGTCCTCTATGGGACAGGAGTCCTCTGGGGAACTCCTTCCTGGGTTTCAGTTCCATTTGTAAGGAAAATGAGTCATGAAAGTATTAGAATAAAGAAAGGGCAGAAAGTTAGCTCAACAGATAATATTTGGGAGTGAAGCCTAGGAAGGGAGACCAAGTCTCCTTCAGCATAGTTGAAAGGGAAATGGTGCAACCATCTTACGCCTAGATCTCTAAATATTAGGCAGAAAGAGTGAAGTTGGGGTGGGGCAGTTGGAAGTGGGGAGAGATGGAGGTGGGGTTGGTGAGCAATGTAATGTTGACAAGAATTTCAGGGTCTCAACAACATCTGTGTTAAGCCAGAGGTGCCAACATCAGATGTGGCTTTGGTCTCAGACTTGCTTCCAAGACTGCTGGTGCATATGTTTAGGGTACAGGGAAGGGAGATGCTTCAGCAGAGTTGGCAGTACGGACAGTTCTAAAATATGGTTGTCAGGGGTATATGAATGCCTTAGGTTAAGTCACTTTCCATCAACTTAAATCCTCTTATAGTCTATGGTACTGGACAGTATTTCTGTCTTCTGACGTAATGGTTGAAAAGCAGCACAAAATATAAATTATTTCAAGAATACAAACCAATTGTCCCCCCGTTAAAACACAACAAAATGAAAACAGAACACCAAAGGAATAGTAATGACATATGGTAAGTACTCAGGTTAAAACTTTAGGCAGTATGAGTTGAGCATTTTGACTAAATGCTTTCTCTGACATTAAAAGAGGAAAAAAAAAGATTAAAGAATCACAGAAAAAAACATGTTTGAATTGTAAAAATATCAGTATTAATTTCTTAACTCATTAGGGAAAAAAACATTCTCATAAATCAATTTTTAGTATTGATACTTTAAAATCTTTAGCAGTTAGGATGGAAGGAAATTTCTTTACCCAGAAATGCTTAGATCTCATTCATGTTTTTTTCTTCTTTTCTGTGAATCATTTTAGATGTCCAGGAAATGGATGATGTGATTGTGACATGCCAGGAAAGTCCAGATGAACATCTATGGGAAGTCGCTGTCCCCAATAGCAACACAGTAGAGGAAAGTATTAGATTAGGAAGGACTTTTAATTTGAGGTCAAACTCTATGTCAGAGCTCATTAGGAATAATGAGAACTACTTAGGGATGAGGACTGAGGAGTTCACTGTGTGTCAGAACATACTTCTCCATAGTAAGTCTGCTGAAGCCAGGCCTCATGTCTCTTGTATAGTTGAAAAATCCCTCAGACATTTGAAGCATTTTAGTCAACATTATGAGAGTCCAAATGAGCAGAAGTATTTTGAATATGGTGGAGAAGGGAAGGCATTAACCTCAGAGACCACATTCTTTACACAAAATTGTTTTTTTGTGGGTGATCCCTCCTATAAGCATGATAAATATAGGAAAGACTATGAAAAATCTGCTCTCATTGGCCAGGGAATACCTCATATAGGGAGGGAAACACCTGAATGTACTATATGTGGGAAAACATTCTACGTAAGTCCTACACTCACTGCACATCAGAAAATACTCACAGGAGAGAATCCCTGCATATGTAGTGAATGTGAGAAATCCTTCAGTGAGGAAATATACCTTTCAAAACATCAAAGCAAATATCCAGAGAAGTCCTTTAAGTATACCAAATATGCAGAATCTATCTTTCAGAAGTCAGACTTGACTTTACAGCCTCAAACTTACAGAGAAGAGAAATGCTGTGAATGTGATGAATGTAAGAAATCTTTTGCCCAGATTTCTGCTCTCAGCTGGCATCAGAGAACTCTCACAGAGGAGAAAACTTATGCATGTAACAAATGTGGAACATCTTTCACCCAGAAGCTAGATCTTAGTGTTCATCAGGGAATACACACAGGAGAGAAACCTCATGAATATAACAAATGTGGGAATCATTTCAAACAAATGTCAAGTCTCAATGAATATCAGAAATCTTACCTAGGTAGGAACCGTTATGTTTGCAACATATGCAAAAAGTTTTTTAGGCGGATGTCCTATCTCAGATTGCATCAAAGAAGACACACAGGAGAGAGGCCTTATGCATGTAACACATGCGGAAAGGCTTTCACACGTCGGACAAGTCTCTCTGTACATCTGAGAAGACACACAGGAGAGAAGCCTTATGAATGTAACACGTGTGGAAAGGCTTTCATGCAAGAATCAATCCTCAATGCTCATCAGAGAATACACACAGGAGAGAAACCTTACGCATGTAACACATGTGGAAAGGCTTTCACACGAAAGTCACAACTCAGTGTGCATCAAGCAACACACACAGGAGAGAAACCATATGAATGTAACAAATGTGGAAGGTCTTTTATGCAAAACTGTGTCCTCAGAGTGCATCAGAGAACACACACAGGAGAGAAGCCTTATAAATGTAACACCTGTGGAAAGGCTTTCATGCAGCGGACAAGTCTCTGTTTGCATCAAAAAAAACACACAGGAGAGAAGCCTTATGAATGTAACACCTGTGGAAAGGCTTTCGTGCAGCGGACAAGTCTCTGTTTGCATCAAAAAAGACACACAGGAGAGAAGCCTTATGAATGTAACACCTGTGGAAAGGCTTTCGTGCTGAAATCAATCCTCAATACTCATCAGAGAACACACACAGGAGAGAAACCTTATGAATGTAAAAAATGTGGAAAGTCTTTTAAGTGGAGCTCATGTCTCAGAACTCATCAAAGAATACACACAGGAGAGAGACCTTACGAATGTAACAAATGTGGAAAGACCTTCAAGCGAAAGTCACATCTCAATGTGCATCAAAGGACACACACAGGAGAGAAACCGTATGAATGTAACACATGTGGAAAGGCTTTTAAGCAAAAATCACATCTCAGTGTGCACCAAACAACACACACAGGAAAGAAACCTTATGAATGTAACACATGTGGAAAGGCATTCACGCGAAAGTCTTATCTCAGCAAGCATCAAAGAACACACTCAGGAGAGAAAGTTTATGAATGTAACACTTGTGGAAAGGCTTTCAAGCAAAAGTCACATCTCAGTGTGCACCAAACAACACATACGGGAAAGAAACCTTATAAATGTAATACATGTGGAAAGGCTTTCAAGCAAAAGTCACATCTCAGTGTGCACCAAACAACACACACAGGAAAGAAACCTTATGAATGTAACACATGTGGAAAGGCTTTCAAGCGAAAGTCATATCTCAGGAAGCATCAGAGAACACACACACACGAGAGAAACCTTATGAATGTAATATGTGAAAAGGCTTCCAAACAAAAGTCATGTCTCAGTGTGCATCAGAGAAGACACAGGAGTGAAATCTTATGACTTTAACAAATGTGGAAAGGCATTTAACCAGAAATTAAATCTAAATATGTATCATACATGCACAAACAAACACATATAACAAATGTGGCCTTTTAATCATTGAATCAGTCCTCAGTATGCATTAGAGAATGTAAGCAGGAGAGAAACCCTATGAATGTAATATATGTAGGAAACAGCCAGAAGTCATACCTCTACAGTTACCAGAACTTGACTCATGCCAGAGACTCTGGAAGGTGAACAATATAGAACATCATTCGACCAGAACTCAACCTTCAGTACACTTTAAGAGTACTTATGGAGAGAAACTCTACATAGAAAAATCTTTTTTTTTTTTTTTGGTCCGGTCGTGGGGCCTGAACTCTGGGCCTGGGCGCTGTCCCTCAGCTCTTCAGCTCAAGGCTAGCACTCTACCACTTGAGCCACAGCGCCACTTCCAGTTTTCTGGTGGTTTATTGGAGATAGGAGTCTCACGGTCTCTCCTGCCCTGCCCGGGCTGGCTTTGAACCTCGATCCTCAGATCTCAGCCTCCTGAGTAGCTAGGATTACAGGCATGAGCCACCAGCGCCTGGCTTTATATATTTAAAAACAGCTTGATAATGACATAAAAATAGGCCTGAGGTCCAGTAGAACAGAAGACCCAGAAATGAACACACAGACTTTGAGCCACCTAATACTTGATAAGGAAGCCAAAAACACATGTTGGAAGAAAGCCTCTTCACCAAATGGTGCTGGCAGAACTAACTATACATATACATTCAGAAAAGTGAAGTTAGATTATTATATATCACCCTGCACAAGAATCAATTCAAAGTGGATCATAGCTCTCAGTATAAGGTCAAATACCATGAAAATATTACAGGAAAGCATACGGTAAACACTATGAAAAACTTCCTAAGTAAAGATCCAAAATATCAACAAACCAAAGAAAGAGCAGAAAAAATGGATTGCATTAAACTGAAGAGTTTCTGAGTGGCAAAGCTAGCAAGATAGGTAGCAAGATAAATAGAATTCCACAGAATGGGAGAGGATTTTGACCAGCTATGAATCAGACAAGGCCTCATATCTAAAATATGCTTAAAAAAAGAAAACTTCCCTCGTGGCTCAGTGGTAGAGCGCTTGCCTTGCATGCATGAGGCCCTGGGTTCGACTCCTCAGCACCACATAAGCAAAAAGAAAAAAGCCGGAAGTGGTGCTGTGGCCCAAGTGGTAGAGTGCTAGCCTTGAGCTGAAGAGCTGAGGGATAGCGCCCAGGCCCAGAGTTCAAGTCCTACGACCAGACCCTCCCCCCCCAAAAAAAACCCTTCCCTCAATAAACCCCCAAAGAAACAATGACCCAATCAATAAATGGGCTAAAGACTTAGAGACTTATCAGATTCCAATTCATCCCAATTAGAAGGGCCAAGAAAACTAACAACATGCTGGTGAGAATGTGGCCAAAAGGGAACTTTATTACATTGTTGGTGGGAATGTGAGCTTGTTCAACTACTCTGGAAAGCAGTATGGGGATTCTTCAAAAGACTAACTAAATATAGATCTTCCCTATGATCCAGCAATTCCACTCCTGTGCATTTATCCAATTGACCACAAACGGCTTCCACACCAAAGCCACCAGCACAACCATGTTCACTGTGGTATTGTTTATCATAGCCAGGTTATGGAATCAACCCAGATGCCCCTCAGTGGATGAGTGGAACAAGAAAATGTGGTATATATACACAATGGAATTCTATGCTTCCATTAGGAAGAATGATTTTGTACTATTTGTGAGGAAATGGAGAGACTTGGAAAAAATTACATTAAAGTAAGCTAGACCCAAAGAAATGTAGGTTGTACTGTTTCTCTCATTTGTGGTAACTGGAATGTGCCTATAAGTCTACTAAACAGACTGGATTGTTAAAGAGAAAAAAAATACACTGGAACATGCCAAATTAAACTGGACTCTAGACATTCACACAGCAAGACCAAAGGAAGATATTCTATGAAAAGGATCACAAAGGCTCAAGTTATTTGCATATGATTGTTATAAAATGATGCTTATCAAAATGAACTCCAAGAAATGGAAATGAGGGTTTTTTTCCCCTTTGTTGCTGTTTTTGATTTACCTTTTGTCTCGTTAATCTGTTTGGGGAATGTATGAGAGGGGCACAGGAAGGGTGAGATAAAGGGTGAACAAATGAAACTGGTATTCATTAGATACTATGTTGAAAATGAATTGTACAACTTTGTGGGGATGGGGGAAAAACTGGGAAAGAAAGGGAAGAAGTGACAGTCCAAAAAGCAATGTACTCATTACCTGATTTATGTAACTAACCCTTCTGTACATCACCTTTACAATAACAATTAAAGAAGTATATATATACATATATATGAATATATGTTCAGTGTATGTTTACTCACTTCAGATACATATATAAGTAAAGCAAAAAATGGTGAAATAAGGATATTTTAAACCAAACTTTTGTTCCATTTGCAGTACTACCAGGTAAATGATTCTATCAACATGTAGTGATAATTTCACTCCTTAAAAAAAAGGCCTATATATATTCTTGAGAATCCCTGTCTTATTCGAATTGTTCTTGTTTGTCTTTGATGCTCTAGGAGACCTCCTTGCCCAGGACTTTCCCTAAGTTTTGGAAAGACTGAGGACAAAGTAGCCAATGTTCCAAACCAGCCACCTGCTTGCTATGGATACCATCATTCCTATAATTGTTGAATTCTTTACAAGATGGCAATGAGGTAATGCCATCTGATCTGAAAGGATGGAGATAGATTACTTCTTTATTAAGTCAAACTTTTAGATTCTAGCAAATGTTTTATTACCCAACAGTTTAACAAATATAGCACTTCTTGGATGAAAATATAGAAGATACCCAACTATCCCACTTTTGGGCATTTACCTAAATGATCACAAACGGGTATATTAAAGCACAACTATGTTTATCACAGCACTATTTACCATAGCTAAGATATGGAACAAATCCAGATGCCCCTCAGTAGATGAATGGATCAAGAAAATGTGATATATATGCATATATATCTATAATGGAATTCTATGCCTCCATCAGAAAGAATAACACCTCCCCATTTGTTAGGAAATGGAAAGACTTGGAAAAAACGATATCAAGTAAAGTAAGGCAGGCCCAGAGAAACATAGGTCCCATAGTTGCCTTCATTTGTAATAACTAGTATATGTCTAGGACAAGCAGAAAAGGTCAAAAGCTATGTACATATGACCATATAAGATGATGTTGAGTGAAATGAACCCCAAGACAGGGACACAAGTGGTTTTTTTCTTTCTTGCTATTGTTTTTACATACTTATAATGTACTATGTGATTTTGTTTTCTTTCTTTTGTATGTTCTTCCTCCATGGTATAACCCGTTTTCACTGTGTTTGATTCTGGTGCCCTGAATCTTGTATATACACTTTTCTAATTTGGGGAGGGGAAGGAAAATAACAAAATGCTGAAATAAGGATACAGGTTGACTCATTGTAACAGTGATGTGTACATGACACTATGTTGAAAACGGACTTAACTTGGGGGGGGAGTTGGGAGGTGGGAAGGGAAGGGATGGTAGGGGAAAAACAAAGGAAGAGGTAACAATGCTTGATAGGAAATGTACTCATTACCTTACTCATGTAACTGTAACCCCTCTGTACACTATTTTTACAATAAAAACATAAAAATATAGAAGATACTCTTCATATAATAAGCTAAAAATTTGCGTTCAGAATCTCTCCTACCAGTTGGGACTCAGACTTAAAACACTTAAGGCTGTCTAATGAAAATGTTTTGCAAGGGAGGTGTTTTCTGTAGATCTGAGTTGAAACCATTTGTATGTTAAAGGTTTGTTTCAAGTAGTGGTATCTCATAGTCATTTGGAAAGTCCTTTTCTCTATCACGTGTAAAAGATGTTAAAATATTTATTTCATGATCATTTTCCTTCATTAGGCAGAAAATTCTGTGATTTTTAGTCCAACTTTAAAATTATTGTAGAGGTTATATATTTGATTATATGCTCTGGACCAAGGCAGGTGAAGTAACATCCATGAGCCCTGCTCTCATCACTGAGCAAGCAGTGCTAAGTGACCCTAGCTCCCCAGGTATCTTTACCACCAACAGGAAAAGAACATAGTAGCCCAAGTCTGGAGTTGCTATTTTAAGTGTCAATGATTTTCAGTCAGTAGCACCATTTCATGTAACTGCTTTTTGTGATTTATATGTGTAAATCCTTTGTGTCCATTGGGGGGAACTTAATGGTTTGGTATCTCTAGAATTAGCCTTATTTGAGTAAATTTTGTGTTATGGGCTGATGATGGGCAACCCTTTTCCAGGCAGGCAGCTTTTAAGAATTAGTACCTAGGAAGATTCGTGCCTTTGTGGCAGCTAGTGACTAACTTTTTTTTTTTTTTTTTCATATATAGCCCAGGCTGGTCTCCAACTTATAGGCTTCCCCTCCTAATTATTGGGATTACATGCGTTTTCCACCCTGTCTGGCTCTAAACTCCCAGTGAAGGCATTGTTTTGCTAACAAAAGAATTAGCTATTTTAAAAAGTTCCCTTTTTCATTTGATAAATTCATTTTGAGACATCTGAGTACATTGCAATGTGTAAGATCGAAAAATGAATATGTACTGCAAGCTTTGTTTTATCTCTTAGCTTTGCTAAATGACATTGAATTGGGCTGAAACTGTACTTACTAGGAATTATCTGAACAATTAATGGAATGAAACATGAAATACTTAGAATGGGCCATGGAAAAATATTCTCAACCATCATTGTTTACTATTTTTATTTTGGAATTTTGTTTTGTTTTGTTTTTGTTGGTCATGAGGCATGAAATCTGGGCCTAGGTACTGTTCCTGAGCTCTTCAGCTCAAGGCGAGCGCTCTGCCACTTGAGCTATAGTACCACTTCTGGT